CCCAGGTTCAGTTCCCAGCACCCACACAGTGGCTAACAATCATCCATAACTCCAGTTCCAGGACATCTAAGTCCCTCTTCTGAAGTCCATGGGCATTGCACAACATGGGCACACTTACATATATGCAGACAATATGCTCATACACATAAAATAGAAATAACATAAAATATCAAAAAAAATCATGCATAGGATTGGAGAGATGGCTCAGCAGTTAAGAGCACTGGCTGTTCTTACAAGAATCTGGGTTCAGTTCTCAGCATCCACATAGTAGCTAACAACTGTCTGTAACTCCAGTTCCAGTGGATTCTATACCCTCTTCTGGCCTCCACAGGCATTGCACATATGTGGTATACTTACATATATGTAGGCAAAACACTCATACACATTAAATAATAAATGAGTAGTAAATAAGTAAAACAATGCATATTTAGAAATGTCAACCATCTAAAGTTATTGCTTAACCCTTCCTTTCCCCGCCCCCTTGTCCCCAGTCTGAGCACATTGCACAAGATTCATTCATCATAGATCTAAACTCCAATTAGGTTAGAGTTAAGTACAGACTCTGCCTGATGCAATCCACCAGTGAAAGTCCGCAGCAGGCCTCTACCGTTTCTTCTGCTTCTCCGTCTCCATCATCTCTCAGTCACTTCTCACTAAGAAATGTAAACGTCATGACTGTGAGACTTCATTACTGTTGGAGAATATGCTATGGTCCATTTACTATAAAGAATTGACACCGTACTACGTTTGTCAGGAGGAATGAACAAAGTATATATCACGGGACAGGAGCCTCGATTTTTATTGTTTTTTCTCACTTACCACTAATTCTCCAACTCTAGCTCCTGTCACTGTGAATTAGGGCACCTCTGCTCTATATAAATATTGTATTCTGGGTAATTAGATACTGGGATAGGAGCCTCTGTAAATTACTTTAACTGCTGTCAGTGCTGAAGGCAAATACGAAGTTTTTAGTTCTGTTTCTAGTTTGGGTTATTTTCTGACCCTAAACAGCCTGACATAAAAGAGCTCTTTTCTTTGTCAAAGGCAGCCCTTTCAAATCTACCTGCCAGACAGGCTATTGAACTATGGGTTCAATTCTAATTGGCTTCAATCTTTTCAATCCGGCAGTTTCATTTTTAATGCAATGGATGTAAGATTATGTGTAGATCTTTTCAATGGGTATTCCATACTGCTGCTTAGGCAGAGGATTTGAACATAAGTGGGCTGCTGGCTATTTCTTCTGGACAATTTAAATGGATTCATAAGAGTCCTTTGTGCCCCAGGGAAAGGGCAGAACAAATCCAAGTGAGACGGTTAGAGCTCCCCTTTCAGATGGAATTGTAGAAAAAGGAGGGGGCTCTTGGGCAAGAGAAGTACTCAAAATACTGTAAAATTGGAGCTCTAAGCAGTCTAGTAAGGTGGATGCTTAACCAGTTGTTTCCTGTGCAGAACTGAGGTCACCAGGAAGCATCTGCCCAAACTGATATTGGTTTCTACAGGTTAGAAGGTCTACGCAAATAGACAACTTTCACCATGGTTCCATAGGAACCCAGGGTGAGTCAATTATTTTATAAAGTATTCTGAAAGAATAGATGACTTTATAGAACTCTAAAGTACCCACAGCTTTATTATATTAGAATAGTGAAATGAAGCCTAGCTAAAATTTGGTTTGGGTTGGCTTAAAAATCTTAATTAGAACCATTAGGAAAGACACGGTATTGAGAAAGATTCAGTCTTCCATTAAGAGGGTTGTGTAGGATGAGATATTCAAAAAGGGTAACTCAACCTTTTGGCATCACCACACAATGCTGTCATCTACAAAGTTCATACTGGAGGATTTCACAATTGAGTTACCAAAAAAATTCATAACATAACATGTTTTACATAAATTTATAACTCTGTGTCAGGCTGCATTTGTAGATAGCCTTTGCTGGGTCCTCCTGATAAAAGTGTCTTTCCAAAAGCGGTCCTGCTTGTGAAGCCTCCATCTGATTTCTCTGCTGGGATGGAAAAGGGTACCTGACAAACCAGGAAGGAACTAGTCCTGCATCCCTCTATCCCATAAAGAGGGAACCCTGAGGGCCCTCATTGCTTCCCCAACTTCATCCTCCTCTGCTCAGGGAAGATGTTTAGAATGCCTCATCAACCAGTTTGGTAAGTCCCTCTCCAAGTGAGAAAGTATTTCTTTATTGAAGGCAAACATAAACTGCATACTGTTGTCAGTACTAACAAGGCCATTTCAATCTTCCCCAACACATGAAAATAATGTGAGAGAAATAACAGCAACTTCATCTTACTGGTCTGCCTTGCTTTGCCCCAGAACATATGCAAACCATCCATCTGTCTCCTGGGGACTAACATTCACTTTGCCAAAATTCACAGTAATGATGGAATCCACACTGGTACCTGGCATAGAAGTTGGACAAATAGAAGTGAGAGGTACAGGCTGGAGAGGGGAGTGGCCAATCAGCTGAACTTTGGCTCTGCTGACATTTGGTAAGAAGTCTCAGGAGCTACACAACGATTCATTGTTTTGTTAGGAGTGAATTTCCGCAAAAACACACACACAATAAAATAAATAAAACCAGATTTCAACCATCATCACTCTCAATCAACAAAAAACAAATACACTCAGCCTCTGTGTAGAGAGAACTGCAGCAGCAATTTCTGAGCTGCCTTCCGGAAGAGTAATGCTCGGTAAACAGTCTTACTCTGAAACTCAGATTTCTCGAGAAAAGCTGTCTGAGAATCACTTCAACAAATGTGATGTGCTGAGCGAAAAGAACTTAGGTCCCTGAAGGTTTAAACGGTGGAAGATTTTCCAACTGATACTTAGATACAGAGATACTGAGCATTTAATACCGAACAGAAAGTCTTTCTACCTAACAGAAATGTATTCGGGCTCATCAGAAAACACGCACTTACATATATGAGTGAGTGTTCATAGCATGGAATTCTTAAACTGAAACATTCAAATGTCCGATTACAGCAGAATGCAGGAATAAATTGTGATACAGTTGCAAAGCTTTACACAGCAGTATGAATGAACCATCTACAACCATCTGTAAGGGGTGGGTGGATCTTGCAAACTGTTAGCCAACAGATTCCAGACATGGTACAGCACCCCACAGCATTCCAGTCACATAAACTGGGAAATGAGTTAATGGACCATTTTGGGGGTCAGATTGGAAGAGAAGGTCAGTGGGGAGCCCAGGGTGTGGGCCAGGAAGATTTCACCTGGGTACTGGTTGGGTTTGGTTCGATTCCATTGGGTGGATGGACAGAATGTATGGACAGGTGCCTGTTGTCCACATCACTGTGCTGCTCACTTGTCTGTGTCAAAGTAATGTCCCTCTCTTTGTTCACCAGCTGTCTTTAAGTGGGTGTGCTTTTCTGTCTCTTTGTCCCTGGGCTTACAACTGTTCCCCATTTATGCATCAAAACTTCATCTGTCCCTTCACTGACGGACTCTTATACTCTGTTTCTGGCATAAAACCTTTATATCAGCTTGGCAGATGGAGAAATACCACCACTTTGTAATTAGCCTTTCAATATGGTGTTTTAGAATTCTTACCTTAAAAATTAGAAGTATGTTTCCGTATATACTTTAAACATCCTAAAAAATGCAGTCACAAATAAAATCATACAGAGTATTTCTTGTGTGTCTGATACTTAGTATTCACTTGTAACTATATAATTTAATGACAATGTATACCATCCCGTGTCACCTGAAAACTCTAAATTATTTAGTCACTCGTGCATATATGGTCCTCACTTGTAAGACACAACATATCAAAATACCAATCGCAAAAATGCAGTTTCACGTCTGAGTATCTCCAGTTACCTCTGCCTGTAAATGAATCTGTGTTCATGTACCTCATTTCTGGCCTGTTAGCACCATCTCTGCTATAGAATACCTGTTACATCATTAGATGCTTAAGTCACGTTGCTGATAAAAGGAGTTAACATACAGTTTCTCACTTAGTCTTTACAAGCTTATGAGGTAGAGCTTGTTACCTGCATATTGTCAGAGGAAGAAATGTTAATTGCTGGCTCTTGTTAACTGAGGCTGCTGATGAAGCCGTCCCTGTATTAAACATTCTACAAGGCTGATTGGCCATTAGAACTTTGGTGCTTAGAGAGAGGGTAGAACTATCACAATTCCAGAACTGAAAGATCTTGGGCTACCTTTACCCCTAAATAGTTATTTATTGCCCACATCTGTGTGTGACCCAAGATCCTTGTGACTACTAAGTAACTACTTTTGGAATGTCTGAACCCAGAAGCTAAGAATGCCATCGGCTCACACCTGAGGCCCACAGCAGTTCTCCTCACCCTAACCCACCTAGTCAATGTTTCCATCATTGTACTTGAAAGGTCTCGATTTATGATTCTATTTAATTTGCCTCTCTAGAAACCTTATAAAACTGTTACTGTATTGGATTATGGTATTGGGGTATATGCAGGGGGACCTAAATTTGTGTTTCTAGGTTATTTGTCTCATAGAATAAATGCACATTTGTCTCCAGAACAAACTGTCTTATTGCCTTTAAGGTGAGAGCTGTGTTCTGTGTGTCAATTCTCCCTTGCATGTTTGTAACACAATTATTAGCAGGGTTTAATCTAACAAATACTTCTTTTTTCTTTAGAAACCTTTTTTGAACATTTGGATCTACCTCCAAAATTCCCTCTGCGAGGCAGAGACCTGCTCTAGGTGCGCTATACTATTATCTATCTTAGCCTCGCTTCTCCTGAACCTGGAGCTGCAGCGGCCTATTCCTTCAGCAAAGTGTCAATGCTGAGAACTCCTTCAGCTGGGCTGCCTTCTCTAATGATGGTCTATCGGACTCTTTGATCCAAGTCCCCAGAGACTCAAACACAATCTACAGGGAAAGTGGGAGGGTACAAGCCATGCAATCAAAAGAATTATTGATGCATTGACATAATGTATGCACACAGTTCAACGTGTCACTGCAGAAATGCAATGATTAAAAACATACCTTTTTCATAAGCCCACATCAAACACGTCTGCTCATCTTTTTCTCCACTAGACCTGCTGGGATCACAAGCCACCAGATTCATATCTGCACCATTATCCAGTAGGAACTGAACCAGGGAAATGTGTCCGTGGTAGCAAGCAGAGTGTAAGGCTGTTATGGGAAAGAACGAAAGGAAGAAAGAGAAGAGGAGGAAAAGGCACTGTCATTTTCAAAAGCATTGTTTCCAGAGACGTAAATCAGTGCTCGATGTTTGATAATGAATGGATTTTATATCGAGTAAACACAAGTATTCTAGTCTAGGCAGCCTTCCAAATATTGTTTACGCTTACAGTAATTTTTTGTATTTCTATATCTATAGTAATTTTTGAGTTTAGTGTTAGTTATTAGAATTAGAATTGTGTACACAAGAGAAATAATGAAGACTCAAAGTAATATTTTTCTTGAGCACCAAGGCAGGAGTTGAGTGATGTGGTCAGTCTGCCTATGATCCAGGTACCAAGGATGTACTGAGTGTATGTCAGTTCTTACCAAGGATGCACCAAGTATACGTCAGTCTTCAGCCCAACAGTGAACCTGAACAAAACTCAATCCACTTACTGTCAACATTCACCATTAATTCTAAATGATGTCAACTTATAAAATACCTTTCCTCAGGGCTAGAGAGATGGCTCAGTGGTTAAGAGCACTGACTGCTCTTGCAGAGGATCTGGGTTCGATTCCTAGCACCCAATGGCGGCTATGAACCATCCTTAACTCCAATTCCAGGGGAATCCAAAGCCCTCTTCTGACCTCCGTGGCATTGCACGACACGGGTGCACTCATATACATGCAAGCAATACACTCATACACATAAAATAAAAATAATAAATAAGATATTAAAAAACACCCTTCCTCATGGGGGTTGCAATTCCCATTATCCTCTTCCTCCTTGGCTCAATATTGTTCTTGAGACCCAACAGATCCCTGGAGCCATGACATTTTTACCTGTGTGCCCATCTCTTCCTTGGTGATTGATGCTCACAACATTTTGATCAAGAAGAAACTTGACCAGGTCAATGTTCTTGCCATAGGTACAAGCACTGCAATAACCCAAAAAAAGAAAGATAAAAAACTCTCTTTATGAATCAATTCATGTCCCTCTGAAAATAAAATGCTGAAGTCCTAATTCCCAAGAGTTCAGAATGGGACAGTATTTAGAGACAGTGTCTCCAAAGAGGTAGTTGATTTACAATGGTATCATTAGACTAGCTCGTAATCCAATAAGATCAGTGTCCTTGTCGGAAGTGGAGATCAGGACACAGATGACCAAGAAGGAAGGATTAACGGAAAAAAAACAGGATCACCATCGCCCCCACTTGACAGAGCCTTGATCTTGTAGATGTAGCCTCTAGAATGGGGCAGTGATACATTTTTTTTGGTTTTCTTTTTTAATCTATGGAAGATTTAAAAAAATTTTATTGAGCTTTTGTAATTAAAAAAAATTTTTATTTATTATTTTTATGTGCATGTGTGTATTGCCTGCATGTAGGTAAGTGCACCCGCATCGTGCAATGCCCGTGGAGGTCAGAAGAGGCTGTCGGATCCCCTGGAACTGGAGTTACGGACAGTTGTTAGCTGCCATGTGGGTGCTGGGATTCGAACCTGGGTCTTCTGCAAGAACAACCAGTGTTCTTAACCACTGAGCCATCTCTGCAGCCCCGAGCTTTTGTAATTTTATACAAGAATTCTTAATCAAGGTTAGACCACCTCCCCACCTATGCCCCTGTTCCGCCCACCAGACTTCATCTAGTCCATGTTAAGTTCTATCCAGTCAAGCATTTGTTCCCAGATGTCCTTCAGTGTGATTTCGTCCACCAGAGTCTAGCCAGCCCATCTAGAGATTGTACGTAAGGCTACTGTCCTCACCCAGTAGCCATCAGTCTCCAATAGTTCTCAGTCTAGTACTAGTCCAGATACTGGTGTGTTTATGAAAGAAGCAGACATGTAAGACAGAGGGAGGGAAGAACGGATAATAAAGAGGCAACACCAGGGGGCACAGCATCGCATCCGGTGAAATCAAGGAGTGGAGTAAGAGCTCTAGTATTTTAACCAAGGAATTATGCCTAGGATAATCAGTCTTGTAAGAGAGATGGGTTCAGAAAGCTTTCATTAAATTGGGGTAACGATCTGAAATTATTCCCTGGGGAAAACCATTCACTAACCTCCAACTTTCTATGACCAAAGGGTAAGGGCTATCTGTGATTTTCCTAAGGGTGCACTGGCTGTGCTCTCCAAGCACAGAGCTCCTGCACACCTAGCCAAGGTCTCATCCTGACCTTGAACACTTGTTTCACCTCCAGTATGACCTAACGGCCTCGCTATTCGCTCCACTGCTGTTGAAATTTCAAGTGCATTTGTGCTTATGGGATCACATTACAAACGGAGATGACGATGTTCATTGTCAGCTTTTCCAGCTGGAAAGAAAATGGACGTATTTTAGGACCCAAAGCAAACGATATTTTTATGGATATTTTGCTACTAGACTTGTTGAGCTACTTAATTGGAATTTTTGGTTCCTACTGTTTACTGTCAAGGCTGAGATATGCCGAAAAAAATATTTTGTGTCAGGTAAATAAATGGTGTGCGTTAGTTGCTTTTCTTTTGCTGTAAAAAATACTTGACAAATGCAATGAAAGGGAGGGAGGGCTCTTTTGGGCTCCCAGCCAAGTGGGATGCAGTTGGTGCAGAGACGGCACTGACTTGGGGCTTGAGGAGCTGGGCTGCTACCTCTGCAGCCAGGAAGCAGAGCACATGCACTCTGCTGCTCAGCTCACTCCCCCTTGCTTCCTCTGTTTCTCACAGGATTATGTCCTTCACATTCAGAACGGTTCTTCCCTCCTCATTAAACCTTTCTAGAAAACCCCTGAGACACACCCAGAAGTATATCTAAATCCAGTCAAGTAGAAAATAAAGATCAACCATCACATTCACTAATGATAACTGGATTTTCTTAAACTAATGTCATAAATTCCCTTTCTAATAGTTTTTCTTTGACAAGATGATGACATTTCCTGTACTTCTAAGCCCTGGGTAGATGAGGCTTCGTCATCCAATTTTGGGAAGAACCATGTGTAATCCTGGCCACAGTGGGACTTGGTTCTGGAGCTCACCAGCTCACTGTGTCTTACTTTTTCCTCTTCCTGGGATGGCCTTGAAGAAGTCAATCTTAATGAAATGCCACATATGTGTCACACAGTGACATCACTGGCTTCCTGTGAAACCTCATGAACAGAGGCAGAGCCCCCTTATGCTATGGCTTCTTCATTTTAGTTCAATGGGACATGCCACATATTACACACACATGTCTGTTGCCTTTAGACATTGCAGTGGGACTCCTTTAAGGAAAGAAGGGGTCTGTTATCTTGATGTGTCTACTGCCATCAACACAAGGCATGTCCTTAATAATTCTTTCTTGAATAATTAGATTAATTATCAACAACTTCGTGTAAATATTTACATAATAAGCAGGATCTTCAACACTACGAATTTAATAGAACATTTTCCATATTGCCGTATTAGCCCTTTTCTAAGAAACTAGACATAGGAAATGGTAAGTTAAAATATATATTCATACATACATTTATGTGAACACACATATGCGCATGTACATATGTATACATGCATGTATATATATTCACATGTATATTTGGATATGTCTATATGATGGTTAAGTTTGATTATCAGTTTGGCTGGATTAGGAAACCCTTCAGGCTTTAGGGAGGCAAACCTTTGGGTGTTTCTGTGAGGATTCATTCAAAGAAAATTAACTAAGGACTTATCATGAATGTGGGAGGCACCATCCTATGGGCAGGGGTTCTAGATTAAATAAAAAAACGGGAAGGAGGAAGCCAGCTGAGTGTCAGAACTCACCTCTGCTTCCTGACTGTGGATAAGGCCACCAGCTGCTCAACTCTCCCCTCAACCTTTGGGACAATACAAACCCTTCTGCCTCTAGCTATTTCTTGTCAGGTGCTTAGTCACCAGCCAGAAAAGTAACTAAAACATAGTCACAAAGAGAGTAACAGAGCTGAAAGTGGTGCCTGCTGTGCACAAAGTCCTGTGCTGTATACAAAGAAAAAACATGTGCTCTGAGTGGATTCCTATCGTAAAGAGCTCCTTCTGTGAGTACATGATGAAAATGACTCGAATAGGAGATACTAATCTGTACTCCCAGTAGGCACAGATTGAAACAACATAAACCAAGCAGACTGATAGTTTTTCTCTCTTCATGACCCTCTTACGGATGAACTTCTGCAGATGACTATCAACCTGTGATGACAGTTCCAAGTCCTGTCTATAGAGCAAGAACACTATTTGATAAGTAGCTCAAGGTGTCAGTTCTAAGGGGCATGAGTTTACAGAGAGGAAAATAGCAGCTACCTGTCTGTGTCAGTTACATGTCACGTCAGTTCTCCCAATTTCCCTTTCCTTGGCCAGATTTCACTGGCCCATCCATGTTGACCAACAGTTTGACCTGAAAAACTCTTGCATCTCCTCTGTTACTGTGCATCTAGAAAAACGTGGTACTCGAACAAGAAGACATGTAAAAAGTACAGGATTCTGAGTTAGGCAGACATTTGGCACATTAACTTCCAGACAGAAGAACATCTGCCTGTGACTTAGCTTCCTTGAACTTTCCTTTTCTTCAACTTTCAAAACTTTATGCAGATTAGTTAGGCCTGGTGGGGCACACCTTTAATCCCAGGTCTCAGTAGGCAGAGGAAGGCTGATCTTTGAGATCCAAGCCAATATGTTCTACAGAGTGAGTCCATGCAGGTTTGGACTAGGGAGACCCTGTCAAAGCAAAGCAAAGCAAAGAAAAGAAAAGAAAAGAAAAGTAAAAAACAAAACAAAATAAAACAAAACAAAAAACAAGCAACCCCCCCAAATTTACGCAAATTAAATGAGAAACTGGGTGCAAACAACCTGGTGTGTGTTAACCAAATTCTTTGGTAGTTAAATAAAACAAAACAAAACAGAGTTGGAATGATTACTCAGTGGTCAGCTGTTAAGAGCACTGGCTACTGTTGCAGAGGACGCAGGTTCAATTCCCAGAGTGCACATGGCAGCTAACAACTATCCCTAACTCCAGTTCCAAGGGATCTGATGCCCTCTTCTGACCTTCATGGTTATTGCATGACATGGGTGCACTTACACACATGCAGGCAATTCATTCATGCACGTAAAATACAAATAATAAATTAAATATTGAAAAACCAAGACAATCCTGAAATCTCCCGTGAGATTTGTATAGGTTAAATTTACTTTAGAATGAAAAAGTGTCTCCATTTTTATTACTCACTAGGGCAAAACAAACATTATGTATAGTCATCTTGAACACCATTTTAGAGGTTGCAAATGAGCTAAGAAGTATGCATTACTTAGGGAAATGATCTTACAGTCAAGGTTTGTTATTCTCAAATTATCATGCATTAATTTTTATAGCAAAATGGCAACTTGTCCAAAATGAGGACTTTAAATTTTGTAGAGTATCCACCTTCCTTTTGGACGTTTTAGGGAGCTAATGGGCCTCGAAGTTATTAGCAGCCTTTGTTCGCTTATTTACTTAGTTTGGGTGCACCTTTTCCAATCCCAGCTGTTCCTGCAGAATGCTTTCCAAGAGTCCACTAGAAAGGGCTCTCATGGCTTCCTAGAAAAGAGCTGAATCTTACGTGTCTCAAAACCATCCTGACTAGGCTTTTACAGACTGACAGATAGATAACTTAGGTAGACACATCTGCACATAAGGTTTAGGACAGTGGGGGAGAAAGTGTCATATTTGATGCTGATGAATCCTACTAATGAGATTCCTGTTGGAGGAGGGTTACAGCCACAGTCCCTTTTGGCAGCTTTCTGCAGAGCAAAGAGGTTCTTTGCTCTCCACAGAGAGAATACGAGCCATATGCTTACAGATGTTGATAGGCCTGTTGCCTTGGCAACATCAGTTCTTGTCTTTGTGGCTGAGCCAGGAATACAGCATCTGGCTCTGGCCCCATCTGTTGTGCTGACGGCAGCGTCTGCCTCCACCCTCTCTTTCCTGAATCTACCTCAGGCTCCTTGTCCTCTGCCCCAACTCCACACCCACTCTGATTGCAACATCTGCCACTATTTGTTACGGCTTTGTGTACACAACTTAGGGTGCTGAGGGGTGCCAGCCAACCTTAGTGACTAGTAGTGTACATAAAGATTATTTTACCTGTGAAAAGCTGTCTCGCTGAAGATGTTTTCCTTGGTCAGACTTTCAGATCCTGATATTTGAACAATTTCCTTTGCAACTTCAAACTTGCCATTGTAGCATGCCCTGGATTGGAGGAAAATATTGTGTTAAGTAAGAGGAAGCTAGCAGGAGCTCAGGAACGATAAGTCAGACTCACAGGTGCAGAGGGGTGTCGCCGTAGATGTTCGCAACGTGAGGCTGAACTTCCAGATCACTCTGAAGCAGATAGCTTACTATATCGTGGTGTCCGAAGCGAGAGGAGAGGTGCAGAGCCACATGGCCTTCATTATCCTGAGCATTCACTGTAGGGAGTAAGAAAACAGAGCTGTGTTATCAGGAACCCATTGGTTCTCAGCCTTCCTGTGTAGAGCCTAAGTGCTGCAGATACTCCTGGAAATTCTCAATTAATGATAATAATAGAGGAAATTAAGTGCCACCATTTTAAAAGTTTTAATTATGTATATCACTATTACATCAAACAGGCTTTCCTTTAGTGTTCACAGATTCCCTGGAATGCATCTAATCAAACATGCTTTGTACCTTAGTATGGTTCAAGAAACCAATAAACATCCCAAGGCACCTGTGACCATTCCCTTACATCCCCTTCCAAACAGATTTTTGTTTCTGCTAAAGGATGCTAAAAAGTTTAAGGTCATGGATGGTAGAAATGACCCAGGGGGTAAAGGTGTTTGTCATCATGCCTGAGGACCCGTGTTCAATCCTTTGGACCCACATGGTAGCAAGAGAGAACTGATTCTATCCAGTTGTCCTCAACCTCTGCACATGTGCTGTGGCATACTTCCAAATAAATGCATAAATAATAAACTAAAGGTTCCACCCAGAGCACCAAGGCCAGCAGTACTGGCTGTCGCAGTGGTGGTGAATGCTGGTAAGGGTGCTCAGGGGGCACTGTGAATCTTCAGCTGAGAATCACCACCATAATACAAAGGGAAAAGCATTTCCCACATGACCGACCTTACTGATGAGGTTACCCTAATAGGTTACTTAAAGCCAAGCATGAGGATGATCCGTATTGTCTTTCTCTTTGGTCCACAGTCTTATAAACTCTTAGGACAGCTAAGGAAACCTCTGGAATGAAAGCATTTAATGGGAAACCAAGATCTCACTGTAGCAAAGAGGCCGACAATGTGGGTTCCAGGACACCATTGCATTAGGGTTCAGATTTCAGAGAGGATGACCACGGGGGACTCCAGAGAGAAGGGGGGTGCAGAGGAAGGCTCCAGACTGGAGAAGGGGACCAGAGGGAATATCTAGACCAGAGAGGGGGACCAAGGGGAATATCCAAACAGGAGACAGGGATCACAAGGGGCTCCGGATAAGAGAGAGAGAGACCACAGAGAAGCTGTAGGGAAGAGAGCTCTGTGTGTCTAGCATTGGCGTTGTGTTCCCCAGGGGTCCTTGTTCCTCCAATGGACCGGGCCTGCTGCGGAGAATCAACTGTGGGGAGTTAGCCTCCGAAGGAGGGCCTTGTGGAGCCATCTTGGGACAGAAGCCAAGAGCCAGCAGGAACATGAGGTGGTGGCGGGAGTGGAGAGAAAGATAGCCCCAGAGCCTCACCGGCATGGTTGCGAGAGGGGGAATTTACCAACCTAGGGCAAGATGCGGGCCCAAGATGCATGGGTGAAAGTTAACGAAGACTATGGGTGGGCCGGGAGCTGTCTGGATTGGCGGGCTCTGAGCCATGGTACAAGAGTGCTTGTCTCCTTTAAGGTCCCCCGTTTACCCCCTCCCTACCCAAGGGCATAAACCATAATAAATTCACATAAAAATATATTATATGGTTTGTCTGATTGCATAAGAGACCCGGAGAAAACTCTGGCGACAAAATTGGCACAGCCAACAGGATGGCGTTGATGACAAACCTCAGAAGTCTGGAAAAAGCTAGCGAGCTGATGGCTGTGCTGATGTGGTTTTTACAATGGGTTACTAAGAAGAGGCCGGCCATGCAGGAGTGTGGGCCACAGCTGTGTTGTAAATGTGGGGATATGTTGTGGGTATGTGAAGATTTGTTAAAGGTTGTCCAGAGGCTAGAAAAACTTTTACCCTGAAATGGAGCACCCAGAGAGGGGGCATGGCCACTTTGCATAATAAAAGATGTGCCCCAGGCCCGGGAAGCTGAAAAGGCAAGGGAAGTCCTGGCAGACCCAGTTGCAGAGCTCCAGGGAGAAAAAAAGCGGGAGACTTTGACTTGTGTAAGTCCAAGGACTCGGAGGAAAAGACAGATAATAGAAAAAAGAAAATGACCTAAAAATAAAAGTAGCTAAGGCTGCCCCTCAGATTCAACCATTGTTACAAAAGGAAAAAAAGCCAACAGTGCTGTAGGTGGGAAATACTCCACATGGAACTGCTAAAATTAGAAAACACAAGCAAGCAGAGAGCCCCTAGCCACGTGGCTTGTGAGAGTATGGGACGTGGGAGCAAATGACATCAGTCTAAGTCCTTCAGAAGCTTCACAGCTGAGTTATATAACCCACCCATCCATCCTTGCGATGTAAGCTGTTCAACCTAGGCCAATGCAGGGGGGACCAGTCATTAGTGGAATGACTGGTTAAAGGCATTAAAGATACATGGTTGTTACCAAGGGAGACTAACATGATTAGCAGGGGCTGGAGGACTATAAAGGAGGGGCAGGCATTACTGAGAGAACTAGGAATGAGAAAAGCAATATATGATGTCCAGCTCACTGGGCCAGATAAGACAGTGTTCACCAGAGATACGAAGGAAAGCTTAATTCAATTGGGACCTCGAGAATGGTATGGGGCTTTAATGGTTTTACTAAGCCCTTTAATGGGACAGGATCTTTGTAAAGTGAGAGAGGCTTTGGCAAATTTAAATGATTCTGACCAGCATGTAAAACATGTCTGTAAAATAACAGAACACCCTATGAGAGATATAAAAGAGACCAGACAGAAGAAATGGCCCATTTGTGTTACTAAAAGACAAATGTAGCAATACATATGTAGAGCCCAAATTCCCCAAGAAAAGATTGATAGAAAATCAAATTCGGTACTAAGGAGTTTCTGGAAGGCTTTAAAACCAGAAGAACAATTTACAAAAGGCATTCAAAGAATAAAAATTGTCCCCGGGGGGTTCAGAATCCCTAAAGATTAAATAAGATACAATTTCTCTTCTCACAAAGGCTATACTAGGGGTGGAAGCAGGTTTCCCCACCAAGTTCTCCCCCAGCAACCAGGTGTGGTCAATGGGAAGATGACAGATGTGGCTAGAGTCAGGAGGCAGACCCAGGGCCTATCTGACTCAGGGAACTAACAAGTGCAGTGGGGACAGGAGAAGCACCCTGCCTCCTTAGCCCAGTGCAGGGTCAGGCAACTGGAGCCCACACCTGTAAGTATATCAAGAATAAAAGAATACAAAGAGACCCCATGTAAAATCCCCCAAGTGTGAAATGACTTCAAAGGGATCACTAAAAATGGTAAAGAGTAAGCCGAATTAATGCCTCGTACCCATCCTCATGCCAAGGATCTATGGGGAAAACTGTTAATACAAATGGACAAAACCTTTCCATGCTTTGTGAGACCTTGTCTATGAGTGATTTAATAGATAATGTTAACTTTCCATAGAGTGTTTTACAAGTGTGAAACCCATTTAAAAGATACCTGAAGAGGCAAAGGCCAGCGATATCTGTAAGATTCTTGGGAGTTTCATGGTTGGTTAGGATGAAAACAGAGACTCCCAAACTGTATAACTGTTAAGAAAATCTATAGTACCAGGGGTCAGTTGCCCTCCTATGAGCTGTTGGTCAGAGAGACCCTAGAGGTCCTCAAATTCACCTAGGCTATTGCCACTAATGTCGGTTGTACACTAGAAAGGTCGGTAAGTCCATGTTGCTGAGGACACTGCATGATGTGAGCACGGGAGAAGAAGAGATGGAGCAGAGACTAAGCCACAAACTCCATGCCACTGGATGGATGAGGTTCATATTGCCAGAAGGCGCTATGCGGATGGTTGGGAAAGAAAGGATCCCCAATGATTCTACTCAACAATGGATTCCACATACTGCACACTATGGACATGTCAAGCAATGCCTGCAAGTGCAGTAATGGCTCCACCAACATACATACAACTGACAAATTTCTAATTGGATAGCGCCCGCTCCTAGGGGTGGAACACACATCTGGTGCTGTAGACCAGGCCAATGCCTTGTGTCGAGAAAGGCTACAGGCCCTAGAGGGGAAGCCATCACAAGTATACTGTATAATGAATAGAGTACACCTACTGGGGTATCTTCTAGGAATCTGTATTTACATTCATGTTTGTTTAAATGTGTCTACCTCCTTCCATTTGTCTTTATAGTAGAAGAAACACCACTGAGATAGATCAATGGCCATGGCCTAAAGACAACTAATGGGGAGGTCCAAGAAGTCACTATCTTCCCCCGATACAAGATAGGTCACCCTACATCTGTCACCCTCTCCAAGGCTCAGGGCTCTTAGCAGAAGATTGGCAGAAGATTGTAAGAGTGGAGGAAAGGGGTGGAGTGTGTTCCCCAGAGGTCCTGGTTCCTCCAAGGAACCTGCTTGGGAGAATTGACTGTGGAGAGGTAACCGTCGAAGGAGGGTCTTGTTGCATCTTCCTGGGACAGAAGTCACAAGCCTCCAGGAACATGTGGCAGTGGGTGTGGGGAACGCACAGCAGCAGGCATGGAGAGAAAGATGGCCCCAGCATGTCACCCACATGGATGAGAGGGGGGCATTTACCGACCTAGGGCAAGATTGCGGGCCCAAGATGCCTGGGTGAAAGCTAACAGAGACTATGGGCAGGCCCGGGAGCAGTCTGGATTGGCGGGCTCTGAGCTGCGGTGCAACAGTGCTTGTCTCTGTAAGTCCCCCATTTACCCCCTTCCTACCCAAGGGCATAAACTATAATAAATTCACATAAAAATATATTATATGGTTTGTCTGATTGTGCAAGAGACCCTGAGAGAACTCTGGTGGCAGATATTGAGATATCTCCGTGGGACCTGTCTGGTGTCATGACCTTGGAGATGTGTGTTTTTTAAGCTTGACTTTCTTCTGTGCTCTATGCAAGAGTGTGTGCTACTTGGTACCTGTTCTAGTTTGCTTTCTGTTGTTGGGATAGACAATGTGACCAAATGCAACCTGGAGTCGAAAGGGTTTATCTGGTTTATATATCCTGGTCCATCACAGAGGGAAATAAAGGTGGGCACTGGAGTAGGAACTGAAGCAGATGCTACAGAGGAATGCTGGCTCACTATCTCTGGCTCCTGCTCAGCCAGCCTTCTTACATGTCTTAGGCACAC